AATTCAACTTGAATAAGTTATCTTGAATATCATGCAAATAGGAAAAAACAAAAAATGGTTTTATATTAGTACAAAGACGAAAAAAAGTATTACCGGAAATGGTGATGATAATGAATAACTTCACATGAAAAGGCAGTCCTATAGGGCTGATAATATTGAAAAGTATGTTGAAGAGCGAAAGTATGTTGTCTGCCTTACAAAAACTAACAACTCGAAGTACATGATGTGACAACCAATTATGCATAAGTAGAATCCCAATCTAGGCAAGTGAAGTCAAGTGAAGTGAAAACGACAGTGCTTTCTATCACTGCCTGAATTATCTAAGTTAAAGTGTCTAAATTCATCATAAATTTTCGTTTTTCGTTGTCTGCTAAACTTATCTACGTACAGTGGACCATATAATTTTGTCGTTTTTAACTGTGAATACTGTCAATCTTGGTAACAGTTACTCATCAATTGGTTTACTGTGTAAAAAANTACTTAGCTTCATTTTATCTTGCCCACTTTTCTATATATTTAATAATTCTCTTTCATCAGGCGAATTTCCGGACTACTGGAAAAGCACAATAAATAAATTGGGTCTAAAATTTGACGTGAGTAATTATCGTCCCATTTCTATTTTTAATGTAATCCCTAAAGTTTTGAGAGCATCATTTCTGATTTCATTACCTATGACTGCTCCCCAATTATAAAAACCCAACAATTCAGGTTTACATCCAAAAAGTCAGCGTAACTGGGTATGATTACATGCTCTGGAAAAGGGTTCATAAGTTGACTCTGTGTACACTTGATTTTCCAAAGTTAATCATGAGCTCTTGATTCATAAACTCTGTTCATATGACGTTGGTGGGACAGTATTGCAGTAGCTCAAGAACTATTTTACTGAAAGTAAAACTTGGGGCCACTGTTGTTGAACCTTTTCATTGACGATCTAATCCACTGCTTCCTCGAATGTGAAGATTTGTTGACGATTTAAAATATTTTAAAATAATTTAAATAAGAGGCCGATATATTGATTCCCCAAAATGATCTAGATTGCCCTATCTAATTGGTGTACGCAAAATGGTATGTATTTCAACATATCCAAATGCCATATTCTTTGCTTTCATCGAACACATCACCCAATCACTTTCGAACATAGTATAAATAATCTGACTTTACATTCTGCTTTTGAAACAAAAGATTTAGGTGTAATCTTAGACCCCCACACTAGATAAATCACACATTTCCCCTGTAATTCAGAAATACATGAAGATGCTTTGCTTTATAGAGAGAACCACCTGCGATTTTACTATGTTAAGTGTTACTTGCCTGCAAGAATTATATCAGTTCATATTGTTATAGACTGTGAATTTTTCTTAATTAATCTATATGTTATCTTAATACTGTGTAACTATTATTCTTATAATTTACTTTCAATCCACTACATTGTATCGACTACTATATAACACTGCAATACTTTTATTTGAATTGGTGCTGCCCCTTACTTATCTCACAGCAAGAAAAGATATCCAATATCATAAGACTCAGTGTGAAGATAAAATGAATCAACCCTTCTCAAAATTGTCAATAAGGCAAGAAAAATCTACATTATATGGAGATCAAATTGTAAAGCAAAATAGGAGAGCTGGAAGAGTTCAAATATACAAGAAATAAACAATCCAAACAAAATTTATAGAAAATGTTATCTCAAAAAAAGGTTCCTTCTGATTACAGGACTTTCTGAATTAAAAATTAAAAGCACTCAACATATCGGTATTTTAATTATTCAAAACTCACTGTTATATGATCCAGTTCGAATCCCTGCCAATTGACGACCTGCAAGAGAGACTCCATCATTCCGCACGAAACCAAGGCCTCGCCTCCCGATTCATAACTGGCCAAGTGGTACAAAAATGAAAACAAAGCCGTCGTAAGGCTAACTGGAAATTTTGAGTCAATGGCATTCTGGAAAGCTGCAGCTTCAATATCATACTCCATCAAATTCGAATCTGGAGTATTACTATCTTGTACATTATTTGAGGTGGCTGTTTTAGATGAATCGCAGCTAGATTCATCTACTGATGATGAAGAAATTTCATCCTGGAGCTTCATTTTCTTGAACGCCGTTTGGCCAAAATCCACTTGGTTAGTGAGAGAAGATATACAGTTCCTAACTAGGACAGGAAGAAAACCATGATACTGACTTGCTCCCGTTACATCTATTATACTATTCAATCTAGTACCAGGTCTTCTGCTGAAATTACAAAAAAGTTACATATCATTACGGTCAGTTAGGTGCCTTTTTGTTTTAATTTCACTCTGAATTTTACTACACAGTATTTTTTAGGTCCAAATAGAGATCACCTACGCATAAAAAGCCCTTTACAGGGTACTTCGAAACTATGTATGAACCAAACAATATAGAGAAACAGCAGAGAGCAAGACAATCAAAAAATTTTACTTTATAATTTTGTCGTTTTTAACTGTGAATACTGTCAATCTTGGTAACAGTTACTCATCAATTGGTTTACTGTGTAAAAAAAAGCTACTAAAACCTACAAAAAAGTGTCAACTGATAAAGAACTTAACATCTGTGAAACGTCCAGGAACATGTACCGATATTTCTCACACATCAGTACTCCAGCAAAATTGATATAATTGTAAATAAGTGCTCAAACTGCGATGAAAATATCGGCGAGAAGCAGGTGGCCTGCGATAGTTGTCATATCATCATCTTACATGCGATGGAACAAGTTCTGAACTACGAACTGTTGCAATTCAGAAGATAACCTTATTATACTTTTGTTACGATTGCCGTGAGGCATTCAAAGTGTGCCAAAAATTTTAAGAGAAATTGAAAATCTCTGGTCCGAAGTTACCATACTCAAAGCTGAAAATCTTAAGATAATGACAAGAGTAACTTTTCAGTAACTGATGACATCCTAAATAAGCCAAAACATTTTATTGATCTTAAATCTACCTGAATTATCAACTACTTCCGAAGATATAACCAAGTAAATTAACTATTATCTGGAGTTAATAATAGTTCGGTAAACGTCAATGACACATAAATCCTACGTTTTGGGAAGATCAGAAAAGGTTATCGGCCAATTAAAGTTATTCTTTCTTCTGCTCGTGAGGTGCATGAAATCTCAAGAAACAAAGTTAAATTAGGACATGCAAACAAAGTATTTTTCCAACCTGATCAAACTCTCATCAGAAAAAGCAAATCGACTCAGTGATAAATGAACTTATAGTGAGTCAACAGGCTCGCATGCAGAATTTGTCTATTGAATAATTCAACAATACACCTTGACGTGAGTAATTATCGTCCCATTTCTATTTTTAATGTAATCCCTAAAGTTTTGAGAGCATCATTTCTGATTTCATTACCTATGACTGCTCCCCAATTATAAAAACCCAACAATTCAGGTTTACATCCAAAAAGTCAGCGTAACTGGGTATGATTACATGCTCTGGAAAAGGGTTCATAAGTTGACTCTGTGTACACTTGATTTTCCAAAGTTAATCATGAGCTCTTGATTCATAAACTCTGTTCATATGACGTTGGTGGGACAGTATTGCAGTAGCTCAAGAACTATTTTACTGAAAGTAAAACTTGGGGCCACTGTTGTTGAACCTTTTCATTGACGATCTAATCCACTGCTTCCTCGAATGTGAAGATTTGTTGACGATTTAAAATATTTTAAAATAATTTAAATAAGAGGCCGATATATTGATTCCCCAAAATGATCTAGATTGCCCTATCTAATTGGTGTACGCAAAATGGTATGTATTTCAACATATCCAAATGCCATATTCTTTGCTTTCATCGAACACATCACCCAATCACTTTCGAACATAGTATAAATAATCTGACTTTACATTCTGCTTTTGAAACAAAAGATTTAGGTGTAATCTTAGACCCCCACACTAGATAAATCACACATTTCCCCTGTAATTCAGAAATACATGAAGATGCTTTGCTTTATAGAGAGAACCACCTGCGATTTTACTATGTTAAGTGTTACTTGCCTGCAAGAATTATATCAGTTCATATTGTTATAGACTGTGAATTTTTCTTAATTAATCTATATGTTATCTTAATACTGTGTAACTATTATTCTTATAATTTACTTTCAATCCACTACATTGCACCGACTTCTGTATAACACTGTAATATTTGNAAAAATTCACGTTCAATCGCGGCAAAGTTCAATTTTCAACATTGAATTGAAAATCATTATAAAACATTTCTATAGTTCCTAGGTAATTTTGATAACTAAGCTTTCAGAAAAAGAGGTACCTAAAGTGATTATTTGCCAGAACAGAACTGGAACCTTTTGTGTAGAATAAATCCAAAACAATCACTGCTCCCACACACCAGAACTACAACAATTTCCTCGATTACCGTTTCACCAACCAAGTTGGAGTTATCTGGACATGATCTAAGGTAATCTCGGAGACTAGACTAACTCTAGTTCATCTCCTGATGACGCCCAGTTGGTTGACGAAACGAGCGTAGGGAGAACCGTTGCTGTTCTGATTTGTGGGAAAAGTGTTCGTTTCGAACCCTGTATAACATCTCAAATTTGTTTAAATGAAACTTCTTCACACACGCTTGACTTGAGGAGTAAGCTGGTGAATGTGTGATGAGAGCGTTACGAAAAATGTGATTGAGCGAGGCGAGCGGAAGTTGAGAGGGAGGCATAAGTTAGTGAAGATAAAAAGAGAGAGAGTTTCGTTTCGTATATTACTGCAAGGGTAATAGAGAGAGGTGCGAGCACAATTGACGGTCGAGTAGTCTCTGAAGAATTAGGAGAAGACTATCATACGTTGCAACTAATTTTAGCAGGAGATTTCAATGTTAATTTCGCGTCCGAACATGATCAACAGTTGGTAAACTTTCTACAAGATAAATTAGAACTAAAAATGAATAGTAACCGAAATGAGCATACCACAAGACACGAGTGTGAATTTATCCACAAAGTACACTCAAAAAAAAATATTGAATTATTATTTTTTCATTCAACGACTTCGTACACCTACTATTTTTCAATATGATACGCTTATCGACTCAGTTAAAAAAAAGAACCATCCTAACTTTTAGACCGTCTGAAGGGGTGAAAATGGAATAGAAATATTTCAAAAAATTCGTAACATGATAAATCATCGGTTTTGTACACCTACCAAACTGAGATATGTTATTTTTGATGACCGTATCAACAAAAAAATCATCACGTCAGAGTTTTCCACGCTGTCTGAGGTGGTGGAATTGGGGTGAAAACTTTGGAAAAATCGTATAATCGTATAAACACAATAACATATAAATCAAACCTTGCAATACACGCCATACAAAACAAACATAACTTTCCTCCACCAGAAAACATCAAACTCATAAAACAAGTCAATGAAGGAAACTGTATGATCATCTGCGAACACCGAAACATCCATAAATTCAAATGTCATAATTCACTTATCGAGGAACAAATACAAATCAAAACACAACACCTAACATTCAATATACTACACAATACAATACACATTCCTAGAAACAGTAAACCTAGATAAACACTAACACAAAGGATATTACCTGATGTAACCCAAGTACAAGCAAATTCAAAGAGACATCTGGATGAAAGGAGACGACAAACACCTGCACTAAGGCGTTTTAACCGTATAAAAGAACAAAAAAGAAGATAAAACGTTCAGTTTGAGTAGAGCCATGAAGATGATAGCACACTCTGCTATTGAAAACGCTCGCATATAATAATTAGAATTTATTAAAGCTTCAAATCCTTTATGTGAACAAATATTAATAATGAAATTTAGAAAACAAAGGAAAACTAGTTGAATAAAAAAAAATCGACTAAAATTTATAATATCTCATTTTTTCACAATTTTTTATGAAACTCAAGTTTATATATATACAATGAGATGTGAAGTTTGAAAACTCGGTTTTATAAATTAAAGAGAGGAGACCTACATAAATGGAGTTGCTCATTTAGGGGTATATATTTCTGGTTTTTAATTGATTTGTTAATTTTCATGGCTTCCAACAAATTCATTTTCTTCCATTTATTACATATGTATAGGATTTTGAGGTTTCTACCAGTTTGGCCTGTATGTCAAATTCAAGATCTTTTGAAATTGAATGACATACACAGTACAATGGAAGTTAAACACTTTATTTGGTATGAAATTTTCTCAGTTAAACTTTCTTTCTCGGGAGAAGTATGTTCTGGTATATTTGTATTCATTGAAGTTATGTTAATAGTTGTGATTAGTGTTTTTTATTTTACTATTTTTTAACAGAACATACACGACAACAGCCAATATGTTCAAAGGTAATGCCTCACTTCCCTGGTCTTTCTGAAAAGATGAGATGAATCAGTTCAAACTTCAACGTCTGTTCAAAAACTCAACTTAAATAAAACCGACAAATGAGGACCAAAATTTTGTGTACAGTGAGTATTCTGTGTGTTTGTGATTAGACTTATACTGGTGAAACTTAAAGACCTTTAAGAATGAGGAAATAAATACCAGAATAATATAAGAAACCGAGACATAAAATCCAAATTAACAGTGCACATTTGGAGCAGGGATTGTAAAAATACGTTGAATTGGGACAAAACCCAAATTTAATGACAGGACTCAATGAAACGAGAAAAAACTAGAAAGAAAGAGCTGGTAATGAGAATATGGCATCATGATCAATCAATTTTGCCAGAAATATGATCCTTCTCACCTGACACAGTTTCAGGACAGATTGTATGATTTGGCCAATACTTGATGAAATTCATGATGAAGTAGTAAGCTTTCACAACCTGAGATTATATATACTCAACTTTGAACCCTGTAATCTACATGCTCATATTTTTCATGTGTCTGCCTTACTACATACTCATAGAAATAAGTATGCAGTAAGTCAATCATCTTTTTCATATAAAGTTGGATTTTGAACCGAGTTCAACAAAAACATTTCTTCAATACTTCAGAACTATAACACCCTTCTTGACGTGTATTTGACCAACAAAATTGTTGAATCACGTCTTAATGACTCCTTGGTTGATCAAACGCTTGTCAAGAAGATTGTTACAGTTCTGCTATATGTGTCTGTTGAACTGATTTTGTGACAACAGTTATCCCAGAACTTTGCTCTCGTATATATGAAAAAAGGGATTTTTTTAAATCTGTACATACTTTTGAATTGCAGGATTTCTATCCAAATGTATGATACCATGTAGTAATGGCTATATCCATCAATTTATTGAAAAAATTAACTTGAATTGTACCTGAAATAACTAATTTCAAGTATACTTTTTGAAAATTGATAAATGAATAACCAGTCAACTCTCTTACAAGTAAAAAGGATTTTAATTTTGAATTTTTGTCGAAGTTTGTATTCATTAAGACCCTTGTATAACAAAGAGTAAGAGTGAAAACAAATAATAAACTCGTCAAAGTACAATGATAAGTAGTCATTGATAATCTGAAAAATTAATATCATTCTCATCAGATAAATTCTATAATGCATTAAGTATAGAAGATATACTTGTGAACAGACTCGCTCTCATTCCTCAGTTTTGCAACTTCTACAAAAACAAAAGTTCTTTTTGGTCCAAACTATATACCAGTACACTGCAATAATAGAAGTGGAGCACTGCATTACACAGCCACTTTATCATTAATAGAAAAATGTGAAAATTACAGTCCACTTGATATCTTTTAATTAATGAAATAGTAGTATATATAAAAAACCCATATTACATCAAAATCCCCAAAAATAATCGCCTTCAAATATGTTCAAAACAAAAAAGTGATTAGCCTAATGATCCTAGAAAACAAATAGAATCCAAAATAAATTCTTGTAAATTCAAGAATTATATTGTGCATAAAAAAATAACTCCAGTTCTTAATAAATGATTCACTTTTTTTTGGCAAATGTTACAAAACAACTGGCACAATTATAGCTAAAAATATACTGAAATACAACATGATGAAAATAATACGTGATTCCAGTGTTTCGTGATGATTTCTTGGCAGATATTCTTACTATTATTTTACTACTGTCAACATTTTCCAAAGTTTACTGAATCAAAACTACACAAAGGATTTCACGAAAACAGTATACAGTTATCAGTTAAATCAGTTATCAATAAAATATTTACTACATGTAGGACAATGAAATTTGCCTACCTCTGCCAAATATTGTAACCTTGAAATAAGGCATTCCTTTTCATCTGGTTTCAACCTAGTAATAAAGTTACTTCTCTTTGAGAACATATAAAGTAAATTTAAAACTTCCAAAACAACTGACATATCATTAGATTCAAGCAGGACCAACAGATGTTCCATAGAATTATACAGGTGTCGAGAGAAAGAATGTTCGATCAACAGACTGGTGAATCTGAGAATATTGATGAGAAGCTGAAAATCCTGGAAAAAAAAAGTTCATTCGTTAACTTTGAATAATATGTTAATGACCAATCCTTAAAATAATTTAAATATGCTTTAACTGCCAGCTTCACAATTTTAATTACAAAAAAATAATTGATTTCAATATCTATGGTAAAACTTCTACTCTTACAAACTAAGTATTTGATACCTTGTATGTTATGAAATTCTACAATTCTCTTGACAATTTTGTCAGTTCTATTAAATGTTCTTCCTACTGATAATAACCGAAAAAATGAAATTTATTTGATCTGCCGAAGAACAAGTTGTGAACATATCCATTGGTAATGAATGGTACATCATTCGAATTATACGATATTAATAAAACCAATTCATTTATGATTGAGAATAAATAACAAATTGGGAAACTAGTTCATCAAAAATCTCCGGTTTAGCACAAATTCTATACCATTCTGTCGCATTCAGTTATTCTTTTGTGGATTTTGTAAATACGAGTTGCAGTTAGCAAATAACTACTAACAACTTCCTCAATAGAAAGTGTATTTGTTTTGACAGTTATATCTATTTATTTCTGACAAATGAATCAACAACCCCACAAAAATGGTTTTTTATATTTTGTTTCTTCTAAACACATTATACTGAGCGCTAGTGACTATGATGATGTGATACCACATTACTACCCCCTCTTTGATAGAACAAGAGAAAAAACTTGTGGAATGGATTACAAATGTAAACCCATTGAATCATGCTACTGGGTATTAGGAACTGAACCAAAAAGATTCACTCAAAAATGAACTAGAAGATGGCTTGCCATTTTCTTAAAAAAAATCAAATGAGCACCAGACTCGCA